AAAACGCATGTCGGCTGTATTTTGACCTGCAGCCATGAACCTTCTCCACAGAGACTGTTAAGGTGGGGTTCTTCATCTCCTTGCTGCACAGAGAACCTCAGGGTTGGGATGGATCCCAGGCCCTCTTACCCCACCACGCTCCTGTGACTACTGTCTCACTCTCAGTGGTTCCCGAGCCGGGGTTGTACGAAAGGTCTGCCTCTTCACGTCAGGCTCACTACTAAGGTACATGACAGCAGCTAATGGAAACACAAACTGCAAAAAATCATAATCCCCAGCTGCCCACTCCAAAAAGTTCCCCCAATTACACTTGTATACTAATATAACTTTAGGAGCGGCTCTAATATTTCCAAAACAAACAGGACTTCCAGTTGGCCATGCTGACATCACATCCACCCAATGGCACGCATGACCGCTCCAGGCAGAGTCTAGGAGCTGCATATCCAAGGAAAACTTGGTGGTGATTTATTTGTACTGCCACAAGAGGCTCATATAAACATGAGTGCAATTTTTATGGCGTCAAGTGTTTCTTGCCTTTTTTTTTTTTAAATAAGAGATCACGTTTTCTGGAGTGTGGATATGATGTATGAAGTGACTGTTTACACTAAGCACTATATGTATATTTTTGTGGGTTATACATGCACTGTACACAGTATTTTTATGTCCAGACAGCAGTGAGTGCTGGGAATTTTAGTCTGTTTTTTGTTTTCATGTTTGTTTTGGTAATATTATTGCTGCTTCCATAGCTTTTCTTTAACTTGCCTTCATTCATGCGTTGATTACATCAGATACTCTTTGTAGAATAATCTCCACATCTGTTAGGATTCTCAGTGGCTGTTGCCCACTCTTCAATTGGACTGCTTCTGAATGTCCTAACAGTTTAAAAATTCCTTAATTCCTGTGTCTTTCAGTGGACTATAATAGTAAGATGTTTGTACTTTTACCGTAAAATCTTTTTAAGTCCATTGAGGGCCACAGGTTCCATCCCTCTGTGTTCTTTGTAAATTACACCACCACCACCAGCCTGAACCATTGATACAAGGCAGGATGGATCCATGCTTTCAAGTTGTTAAGCCAAATTTTGACCCTACCATCTGATGGTGACTGCTGAAATCAAGACTCATTAAACCAGGCAACGTTTTTTCCAATCTTCTATTGTCCAATTTTGGTGAGCCTATGTGAATTGTAGCCTCCGTTTCCTTAGCTGACAGGAGTGGCCTTCTGCTGCCAAAGCCCATCTGCTTCAAGGTTTGATGTGTTGTGCATTCAGAGATCGCATTCTGCATACCTTGGTTGTAACTAGTGGTTATTTGAGTTACTGTTGCCTTTCTATAATCTCGAACCAATCTTCCCATTCTCCTCTGACATCAACAAGACATTTTTGTTCACAAAACTACTACTCACTGGAAATTTTATCTTTTTCAGACCATTCTATATAAACCCTAGAGATGGTTGTGCATGAAAATCTCAGTAGATCAGTTTTTTAAATACTCAGACCAGCCCATCTGACATCAATAACCATGCCACGTTCATAGTCACTTAAATCCTTCTTCCCAATTCTGATGCTCAGTTTGAACTTCAGCAAGTCATCTTCACGACGTCTAGATGCCTAAATTCATTGAGTTGCTGCCATGTGATTGGCTGATTAACAGTTTGTGTTACCAGGCAATTGAACAGGTGTACCTAATAAAGAGGCCAGTGAGTTTGTGTTCCTATCCATTTACTAATGCTGGCAGCATAAGGATTAAAAATGCTGAATGAGAGAGTGAAGTTCCACTTTAACAGTTCCTGAATTCCTGAGTCCCTCAATGGACAAACTACAGAGGTGCTGAGAGGGGGAGTTTCAAGAGCCACAGTCAGTAGAGGAAACACTCAACATCATCGTAGCTTACAAGCAGCAAAGTACTAAGGGATATTTAGTCCTGAGAAATTGAAGGTAGACCAATGGAATGAGCAAAGCAAATTCTGCAAAACACTCAGGGAATCAAAAAAGTTGATGAAAGAGTTGGCCAGCAGACATACAGAACTCACAGCAGGAAAGGAGATTTTTCAAGTAGCTTCTACTGCATAGTCAAAAATAATAGTTCCTATTGCTATAACAATGCTGATGCTATAAAATGAAAAGGTATGCTGTGGCAGTTATGGTTTATTGACAAGAATGAGTTTGGGCTATAACAATACTCACAACCATTAGTATTTTAGCCAGAAGGGCAGCCAGCTGTATAGGAGTAATTATTTATTTATTTCAGGTACTTATATAGCACTGTCAATTTATGCAGCACTTTTCATATATATTGTACATTCACATCAGTCCCTAACCCTCAAGGGGTGTACAATCTAAGGTCCCTAACTTACATTCATACATACACATACTAGGGCCAATTTAGACAGGAGCCAATTAACCTACCAGCATGTCTTTGGAGTGTGGGAGGAAACCGGAGTATCCGGAGGAAACCCACGCAGGCACAGGGAGAACATGCAAACTCCAGGCAGGTGGTGATTCGAACCAACGACCTGAGTACTGCCAGGCAGAAGTGCTAATCCTGCAGTTTCTCTGGGTCTGCTCTCTGGTTTTTGTGTCTGATTCTACAGACACATTTAAAATATCTCTAAACTTATACCAATTATACTTTGTTGGTATGGACCATGTACCCGAGAGAGGTATTCCAATCCCCTGTCCTCAGCACATGACATAACTATCAGTTTTCTTCCTATTGCTGCTCACACTGGACCTGTCTGTCAGTACTATGTGTACTCCATTTATTTAAGTGGAAGGAAGTCTTGCAACTTGCTGACAGCAGTAAGAGCGATTATGGAAGGTGATTAATGGTGCTGGGTTTTCACAGCATATTATGAAATATTAGATTCCAGGTAATGATGTGCAGGTAAATGTTCTTAAATATATAAATTTGAACACTGCTAACTTTTCATAGCAGTTCTTCAATGTTCGCTTTTATTGCTTAGTTAAACAATTCCATGCAAAAAAAAACTTCTTAGGTACGAAAGGTGAGCCGTAACCCACTGTGAGCAACCAGTAATCATATTTTCTGGGTTTTTGGGCAACTACAGTACTCTCATCATATTTTGCCTTATCGTAACGGTTGAGTTTGTCTGTGAAGGTTCTCAGGTCATAATATAGACAATAGCAATAATGCAAGCCATACATGGGTCCAATTCCGAAAGAATTCACCATTAGTGAGCAGCAGTATCAGCCCAATTTCGTGCGGCCATCGAATTTGAGTGATCAGGCATGTTGGAAATTTTTTTGAAAAACGAACGAATTTCGAATTAATGATGGGTGAATTGTACAAGAAATATACTTGAAAAAGAAATGAGCATGAGCGGTGACCTGGAAAGAAAAGATTCCCAGACATGAAAATTCTTTTCTTTGGCAGCAAGGTGAAATTGAAGGCTTGGTTGGTTGAATTTTGAAATCAATGGTGGCACCATCGGATTACAAAACACAAAATTTCCAATTTTCTATTAAATATTCCTTCAGAATTCAACCCATGTATGGCCTGCCTTAGTCACATTCAACTGGGCTTGGTTGGCTATGTTGAAGATGTTTTACAGCTGCTGCTTCTTCAGTTCAGATGAGTGTCATGAACATACCCCAACATTTACAGGTATGTCTGTTACATTCATCCTGTCACCATAGAATTTGTCAAGGCAGATGTTGAATGTGTACATGAAAAATGAGAAGTGTAAAAGTTTTTATTTTAAATACACAATCTAATCTTTGGTACCAGGGAGTCTGAAACAGGTGTCAAGCCTTTGATTTACATAAAAAAGTCCATTAATTGAGGTTAAAGACTAAAGCCTAGTATACACAATCAGAAAATCATACAAAAAATATCGTAAGATAATCTGATCGTTAGGTCACAGCTTTTGTTCAAAATATTTGAAAGGACAAGCACAAAAATGTTTCTCATACGATACCAGTTTGTAAGATTTTCATTTAATCAGTACAGTTTTTCGTCAGAAAATACAATACAATTACATTACATCACTTCCGAATTTTCTTTCTGTCATTAAAGAATTTTCATAACTTTAGCAATCTCTTCACTTTCGATATAAGGCTAGCATGCAAAAAAAAAAACCAGATGATCATTCGGCCAATATTCTCATCCTGTGTATGGGGCTTAAGAGTATGTCAAACTGACGAGGGTTTTTATTGCACTCTGGGACTTCATCCTTTGTTTTTATATCCTCAATTCCTGTCCAGCTGACAATCGTGTCAAGTGAAGGAAAATCTACAACGGAAACCCAGACAGTAATATAAAGCTGAAAAAAGTTCTAGCCTTCCCCTTTTCTTCTAAAGAAAATCATTTTTATTTTTTTCTGTTCTTTTGGAGGGTTACCCTCACTTTCTGTCTGGTAAAAGGTTGTCAGCAGGGAAGGAAGTGAGGGTAAATCTATAATGACCCCGAGGCCCCTGACTAGGGTACTCTATCCAAATCTTAGAAGAAATTTCAGCTGGAGTTAAAATTTTAACAGGCACTCAAATCAGTGTATTTTATGTCTGATAATGTGCTTTTTATCCAAGGTTGCATATGGAGGACAACAGCCAGCCCTCCCATACCTGGCCCCATCGAGGCAGCAAAGGGCCCCAGCAGGGTCTCCCCCACAGCATTTCCTGGTCAGATCTGTCTGTATTAACTAGGATTAATTCACGACCCTTGTCTCTTTGTATACAGTAGTTAGCAAGGAATAATATCTATTTTGCAGCAAAGGCATTTTGTAATCTGTTATATTGCATAGTATTGTGCCAATAGTCATTTAGCTTCTCATCTGAACTGCTTCTGACACTCTGCCAGTCAATTCATCACCTGATCTGCAGGGATATATTCACCCCAGGTCGATGTGTCATTTCTAATTAGGCTTAAAGGTAATTATGTTCATCACAAGCTCATTAGACATTATGTTTGCATCTAGGCATTGCTCCAAATATGATGCTGGCAAAAGTTTGCAGTGACAAAAATAAACCTAACGGCCAGTATGTGATTCCTCATGACCGACAGGCCGTAATGGACTTCATCAAAGATTTACCAATCAGGAAGGTGAGACAACTTTGTTTATTTATCCAGTGGCTTTTCCATCTCTTTTATTTTCCAGTGGCTTTTGGATCTATTTAATTTTTTCTTCATTCATTATTTAAATCTGTAATTGCTGGTTTTCTCAAAGAACGATTAGTACTCTGATAGTCTTGGATTTACTTAGCTTTGTAATTGCTTATTTTTTTTGGTTTTATATTTTATTTTATTTTTTTCTTGAGAGATTTTTGTACCTAACTATTGGTTGTCAACCTGTCACACACAATAAAAATTAACTAGACACAGGAAGGAACATGCCTAAGCATTGTCTATCTGAATAAAGTTCAGGAGTTCCATATCATATTTCCCAGAACTTTGGTGTTCTCAAACTGCATTGTAGGCATTGTTTACCCGCTGCTTCTGTTTCACAGGAGCTGCCAAAAGTCCGCTTCTTCCAGTTATTTGGTTCTGTGATTGCACCATTTTGAGCAGAGTTTGACATTGCAGTTAGTATTGCTGTTCCCATTCACGGCACTGTTGTCTTGGAAATTCGCTCTTACGAATTTCTCCTTACCGTGAGTACTCGCAGTTGGATGCGCAGAAATCCCCCATAAAGCTGTGTGAATCTCGCTTACCACGACTGCAGCTTAGCCCCAAGATTCCTGCCCCTCCAACTGCTTTAGCTCTGTTGAGATGTGGGGAATTGGAGCTCCATTACCCAAAAATGATCACACGACACTCTCAGGTTGCTGTTCGAATGCACCAAAAAGGCGGGTCCAACTCCAGCCTCCGATTTTTATTTACAAGCAGACACACGCCCCCCCACATGAATAAGGTCAATCCCCTCCCACAGAACAATGCATGGGGAGTGCCTATACACAGGATGTACATTCCGATTGGAGCATAGCCTTTCCTATTATCTAACACTGGTCCTTCCCCCATGAGCCCTGTGAGGTCAGCAGACTTCCTCCCCTTCCCCCCATGAGCCCTCTATGGAGAGCATACTTCCTGTCCTACTAGCTCCTATTGGTATGCAAATTCTTTGTACAAGCATTCCCTAGGAACATCAGTCTGTACCTGGATGGGCCCGATACGATCTTTATTAAAACACATCCATCCAGATACAGTTTCAGGTTGGTAATGGGTTGTAAGATATACATAAGCTTACACGCGGAGTTCACACTGCTTGGCGCCTTGCGTTATGAAGTCCGTGTGGTACTATGCTGCTGATATGTGGATACAGGCCCGTGGCCTACCGCCGGCGGCATTCGCATCGAATGCCGTGGTGGTATACACGCCGGTCTATAAGCGCAGATCTGCTATCTCATCCATTACCGAGCTGAGTACTGTAATACATACATTGTACATGCGCATGGCCCAATTGCAGCCTTCAGAGCTTTAATTAAGCCACACGAGAGACATATGAATAACACTCATATATGACACATTTAAAGTTCAACCAACAATACAAAATTTCCATGACACTGTTCATCCTTCTTTCAACCAATTTCTTTCTACAACCCATGATACCCTTCTCCCCCCAAATTGTTTTTTGAACTCCCATGCTGTTGTCCCTTGCCCTATCCATTATGGCCTATCGCCTTTGCTGTTAGTCAGAAGGCCGGATAACTGACTGTGATGCCAGTCACAGTTAGGCTAAGTGACATTCTCCCATGAAGCTGAACTCCAGGCAAGCAGCCAAGTACACAATAAAGTGCTAATATGGGAATAGTTTTACCTGACAATTGATTTATAATGCTGTGCAGCCAGTTGTGTGATCCAGGAATCTCTTTCCAACAGCTCAGCCACATTCTTTACTTTCACTGTAGCAGCAACACAATTTGTGGACTGATTTGGCTTTTTGTTTCTCCACTTTGTGTGTCATACCAATACAAACAAAAGGAATAAACACGAGAATGCCTAAACATTTGCAATTGCAACAATTTTCTGGGCGAAGTGGCTGCTTTGTATATGTGGTATAACCAGTAGGATAAGAATATAATGGAGAACAAGAACAAGGTACATTCTATCAGTTACACAATAAGGATGAGTTAATTATTCGACCTAGCCTACTACATTGGAATTGATTCCTGCTCACGGAAGACATCACTTGTATCTATTTTGAGAATGGGGCTAGAACAAGTAATCAATTTAGTTATGAGCTGAAACAGGAAGGTTTTACTATTGTAGTAGCCAAGTAAGTAACAACAGCTGTGGGGCTAATGCAGGCACGGCTGGCTAATGCTGCCAAAGTTTCCAGAACTTTTGAGGGCACCCTTCTGTGTTGATATGCAAGTTTCCCTCTGCTCAGCATCATGCTAACTTGGTTGATCCATGAGGCCAAGTTGAGGTGTGGAGATAACCAGTGTTGGGCAGTGAATTGATGTGCTAGAAACAAGAGCCTTTTAGCAGATTGTCTTCATCATGTGTAATGTCCTCATCTAGTGCTTCCAGTAAGCAGATCATGGGATGTTAACAAATGTCCTATAGACACGGCATAGAATAAATAATAATGTTCATTTTTGTGAGTGAAGCAGTGACACCTGAGGCAGCTTCTCATCCCCCGAATTACCTGGATGACATTACAGAGGCAGAACCTTAGAAACTAGTCATTAACAAAGAGAAGAAGCTAGCTCTGTTTTCTGTTTTGTGTTTACCAGATACTCTTCAAATTTAATTGAGACATGGCAAGCCTAAGCGTTTAATGTTTGTTGTAATTGTATCAATAAAATTGCTACTTGAGAAGATTAAATCCATAAGACCAAAGTTGAGGGTTACAGAAATAACCACAGTTGGAGGACATGAAATGAGCTAAAGGATTTAGGAGTATTAGAGGTGTACAAATGGTAACTGTATGTGATGGCGTAGGAGTGCCACAATTCAAACCCTTGGAGTTTGTTGAGTTCAGTATATTGTAGATATTGCCATATAGGGGGAAAAAAAAATATTAACGTCCATTATTTGCAGGATGTTTTTCATGGTTACCCAACATTTACCTAAAAGAGTAAGGGTGGAACAGCGTTTAGCATATAGGCCTGTCTACAAACATGTCGAGACAGGCATATCAGCATTCATGTGGCTAACAGTTTACAGAGGGAGTCATCACCATCCTCCACCCCTCATCCAGCTAGCTATTGAAGAAAGCCATTCACATTACAATCTGAATGTACAATCTTCTTTAGATCTACCAAGAGCTACATGGGTTGGAGAAAAAAATAGAAACACTACATGATTTGCAGGTGTGAACGTGACTACATGTTTGGCGTTGAAAGCGAAAGTGATGTAATACTCTTTTGCTTCTGCTCAGTCTAATGAAGACTGAGATTGAGCTCTGCAGTCATGTTTGCAGCAGTTTTCTTTTTCCGGGTCACAATCCTGTGCAGTGTCCTTTTTGTCTCTTTTGGTCAGTTGACCGTGTCCACCACGCTTATGTTTATCAGATGATGTTTCCCTGAAACTGTATATGAGGTCATAACCTTTGACACTGTACCTTGTGACATGGCAAATAAATTAGAAACTTCAGTCACAGAGACACCAGCTAAGCAGGCACCAACAACTTGCCCTCTTTGAAGCTCAGTAAGCTCTGACATGACTCCGTATTACTAGCAGTGCATGCAGTGAATGACAAAAGTGAGGCTTCCCACCTGTTAGCCAGGTGTCTCATCACACAGCAGAAGCAAAAGAATGTTACATCACTTCAACTTTCCAACATGTCATCATTTCGCACCTGCAAATCATGTAGTGTTTCCATTTTTTTTGTCCAAACTCTGTATGTTGTGCAAGGGTCTCTTTGATTAGATATCAATCAAGTGGATTGCTTAGTTAACCCCATACATTACATAGTTTTGGGTAAATTTAGAGGACATGAACAGAGACTGTACAATCATATTGTACTGAATATGGTTAGGTTTCGTTTTTCAATTCAACTTCAGGGAACTCCATAAATTATTGACCCAGGCTGTATATTGACATTAAGGCCCATTCCGTAGACGAGGTAGGTGTTGACCCTATCAAACAACTGTCACATGTCAGAGCCTCTGCTGCCCACCAAAGTTCTAGCATTTGACATCTTACACAGGCATGGCTTAATACCAGGAGGGGGAAAGGTTATTTAAAAGCAGTTGAGACCCCATGCCTGAGCCTAGGATCCAAGGGAATTCCACAGGTATTGATTTCAGGGATAACATACAGTATGGGTCCAAATGTTTGTGGACATCTGACCATCACTGTGCATTGCTAAAAAAAAAGGTGCATGTGTGTTATGTGCATTCTGGTACGTTAGGGAGTCCTTTCAAGGGAATGAGTGAAGTGGCAGAATGAGTGAGTGGTGTCCCTTGGCAGGTGCGAGCCACACCGGGTGACACCTACCACTCCGGGTGACACCTAACGCACGGGGTGACACCGGTCCCGCTCCACGAAAAGCCAAGTTGTAAAGCAAACTGACGTTCCCTGCAGAATGGATCAGATCTGCGGATTTAGCATAATGGATCAGACTCAGATCCATTATGCTCAATCCACAGATCTGATCCATCCTGCGGGGATCGTCGGCTTGCTTTACAACTTACCTTTTCGTGGAGCGGGACCGGTGTCACCCCCTATAGGTTGCATGCCGATGATCCCCGCCTGATGGATTGGATCTGCGGATTGGGGAGGAAAATGGATCGGACGCCGATCCATTATGCTCAATTAGCAGATCCGATCCATCCTGCGGGGATCGTCGGCATGCAACCTATACGGGGTGACACCGGACCCGCTCCACTAAAAGGTAAGTTGTAAAGCAAGCCAATGATCCCCGCAGGATGGTTCGGATCTGTGGATTGAGCATAATGGATCTGAGTCCGATCCATTATGCTCAATCCGCAGATCCGATCCATTCTGCGGAGATCGTTGGAGGGGATGTCACCAAGTGTTATCGCACTGGGTGACACCAACCCTAGGGACGCCTCTGCACACAACACAGGTGTAAATGAATTCAGAAGACTCTTTGTGAGGTCAGGCACTAAAGTTGCATGGGAAGTACTGTATAGGTATTTGCAAGATTCACACTTATGTTCTTGAAATGTTTCTCAAATTAGAAAGTTTTTAATCAAGGCTCTGTTCACTTTAAAAGGCAGAAGATAACAATTAGGAATGATCCGTCAAAGCAGATAATCCTCAGCACTCAGCAGTTCACTTCAAATTTCACAACTCACAGGCATGGTCATTTGTTATGTCTTAAATTTGAGTTGCTGAATAACAGATTAATTAATGACAGGTTATGTATCACTTATTGTACAACACTCCCTTGCAGACCATCACGGTTACACTTTTCATAGAACAACATCTTAATAAAACCCAGATCAGTTATCACTTCTGATGAGAAAACGCAGCACATTTTTACAAATCGTTTCTAGGACGGTATCATGCTCATCAGCAGTTACAGTTTATGATATCCTGTGTAATGCTGCCAGTTGTCTGTAATGTATTACTGACGGATGTGCTTTGCTGTAGGTTCCAGGCGTTGGAAAAGTAACAGAGAAAATGCTACAGGCTCTGGGAGTAACAACCTGTACTGATCTCTACCAGCAGAGGGCGCTCCTTTCACTGCTTTTCTCTGAGATATCTTGGCATAACTTCCTACATATTTCTCTGGGCCTTGGTTCAACACACATAGAGAAGTAAGTAAAAACTGGCGTTCGTGTGCTTTCATAAGACCTTTTTTTCTCCCCTTCATCTTAGTCCAAGTAAAACTAAAAGTGTAATTTTAACACTCCCGTTAAAAGTACACAAACATATTAAAAAGTGAACAAAAATATAATTATTACTAAAAGTACCAGTGTGAATAAGCACTGTTGGTGCGTTTTAAGAGTTTGGTTATTTGCCAAAAAATAAAATGGATATCAACCAGATCAGCTAGGGCTTTATTTTATTTTTTATTACTGGGAAACATTAAATCCTCCAAAAAATTGAATGCAGCTTACCAATTCTTAGATGTGGGCAGCACAGTGGCTAAATGGTTAGCACTTCCACCTGGCAATAGCACTTCTGCCTAGGGTTTTTGGTTTGAATCCCAACCACGGCACTGCTTGCCTGGAGTTTGCATGTTCTCCCTGTGCCTCCAGGTACTCCGGTTTCCTCCCACCTCCAAAGATATGCTGGTTGGTGAATTGGATCCTGTCTAAATTGGCCCTAGTATGTGTATGTATGAATGTGAGTTAGGGACTTTAGATTGTACGCCCCTTGAGGGTTAGGGACTGATGTGAATGTACAATATATATGTAAAGCGCTGCGTAAATTGACAGCGCTATATAAGTACCTGAAATAAATAAATGTGGTGGCTGTATTTAGTTTTCTTTTTTCTTTTTTTCACACACAGTGTGCTGACTGGATGAATGTCAGATGCTGTCAGGGCACATGGAAAACCATTGTTTTCTATGTGTCCCATTCACACAGCACTGCAGCTCGGAAGACGCAGTTCAGTGAGCTGCAGAAAAAACCAGACATGGTGCATCAGCATTTGTAGCATGTTTGGCATTTTACCACATTATTGCAGTGTACAGGTAAGCATCATAAGTCACCGCACAGCAGCACTGCGCACTCCACTTCTGGGTAGTGACATGAATGAAGTGTCACACTGTGCACTTCAAACAAAGCTAAAGTAAAAAAAAAAGGAAACTGTACGATGCACCTTACCACCTCACCGCAGCCTAAAACTGACAGCTGCCTGCACACTAAAATGGAGTGTTTAGCTTGCAGGCAGTGTGAACAAGTTTTTAGGTCTAGGGGAGAAGAACTGCTACAGATGTGCACAGCGCTGGATCGAGATTGGGCTCAGGTAAGTATTTAGATGGGGGCAGGGGAGCTAATATTAAAAGGTTTTTTTTTAACTTAATGCAGAGAATGTATTTAGGTAAAAATCTTTTTACCTTTACAACCACTTTAATGCCGCACATGTAAAGCACGTAAAAATGCACATGGACACATATGTGTTAATGCATCATACCACAAGAAAAAGGTGTTAATAGGCCATCACACAAATATAGTTTTAGTGTGAATTACTGTACACAGGCTGAGGACTAAAGGGCAATTCATACCTATGCTCACAGGAGCATGCGTGGAGTTTAAGCAGCCTGTTCACACTTGCAATGCAGCGCACTACCTTGCATAGAGCATTCACATATGTGTTCAGTGCGTTGTGTGCATTTATTTTTCCTGTGTTTGTGCATTGGAGTGCCATCCAGAATCCATGGCAACACACCGCAATGCACATATGATGATAGACAAGATATATTTCTCTTTTCTGTTAAATTATTACATTAAAATCTTGTCTTTTTCAGAGATGGAGAAAGGAAAAGCATGAGCATAGAACGGTATGTTTGACAATAATCAAAGATGTGAATACAAATTAATTTACTTTTTACAGCATTTACTTCTGTGTTCAGCAGCCTAATAAAAAAAGGGATACTTTGTCCTTTAAAACCTGAAACATATTTGCTATGTTTTCTCTATTTTGGAAAACATATTTCTTTATATCTGTAGCTCTTTTTCAAGGAGATTCATAGTGCATCCTCTGGCCACCCTACCCTGGTAAAGTAAATTCATCATTTCTGGACCAAAGCAGACTCCCCAGCACTTAATTTTGATGGCTAGGAAAAGAGATCGAACTAAAAAAAAGATTCTTAAAATGAAAAAGCAGAGATCTTTGCTGCGATATACACTGATCAGCCATATCTTTATGACCACTAACAGGTTAGGTGAATAACACTGATTATCTCACTACAGTGGCATCTGAAAGTCAGTGAGATATACAGTATTAGGCAGCAAATAACATATTGTCCCTGAAGTTGATGTTTTGAAAGCAGAAAAAAATGGACATCACAGTTTATTGCATATGGGCCTGTATAGCTGCAGACCAATCTGGGTGCCAGTGCTATCCCATGTCCACAGCCAAAAGCAACTACAATGAGCACATGAACATCAGAATTGGACCACAGAACATTAGAAGAAGGTGACCTGGATGGCCGGATGTGTGTGCCTTGCTTTATAGTGAAGGAAATAAGTATTTGATCCCCTGCTGAGTTTGAATGTTCGCCCACTCACAAAGAAATGATCAGTCTAAAAGTCGAATGTTAGGTGTATTGTAACACTGAGAGACAGAATAGCAACACAAAATTCAAAAGAAATGCATGTCTAACAAATGATGCACTGATTTGCATGTTCATGAGGGAAATAAGTATTTGATCCCCTTCACAAAACATGACTTAGTACTTGGTGGCAAATCCCTTGTTGGCAATCACAGAGGTCAGACGTTTCTTGTAGTTGGCCACCAGGTTTGCACACATCTCAGGAGGGATTTTGGCACTCTCCTCTTGGCAGATCCTCTCCAAGTCTTTAAGGTTTGGTGGCTGAGTTTGGCAACTTGAACTCTTAGCTCCCTCCACAGATTTTCAATCAGCTTAAGGTCTGGAGACTGGCTAGGCCACTCCAGGACCTTAATGTGCTTCTTCTTGAGTCACTCCTTTGTTGCCTTGGCCGTGTGCTTTGGGTCATTGTCATGCTGGACATTTATAAGCATGGAAGTTATGCAAAGCTATGAAAGTCCTGTTGTAAAGTACTATGAGAGTCACTACACTTGAACATAGAAATGACTACAATAAAAGTTAAGCTTACCTGGAGATTAGCCTAGACCTCTTTATCGGTGTAGCAGCCCACAAAGGACCAGACTTGAAGCGATATTAAACCCAAAACCAAAAATGTAATATATTGTAGCTTACTAATCATTAGATGTGGTGGCTGCATTAGCTTCCTTTTTTAGGAAAGCTTGTCTGATTTTATTTATGTTTAAAAGGAAAGTCAGAGGGTGTCTCTGCTGAAGACATTAGCCTCTGTGGATGACATCTGGAACACGCACCCGGCAGCACTTCCAAGAGTGAAGCAAGCCTCTGTTGCAGTATGGGAAAGGACAGAAAGGCAATTCTAAGTGCAGTATTCCACTGTATGTTTTTATTAGGAAACGGTTAAAAACACTTAAAAGATAATGGTGGTAAATAGGCTCATCAGTGAAGTCTATGCGGTGCTCCTGTCACTGTGGATTTTCTCTTAAATGATGTGCTGACCAGCGGGTGCAGGGGTAGCAGAGAACACAGATCCATGATGGCCGCCGCCCTTGATGAAAGACCCTACCGTGCAAGCTCTGAAACGCATCACTGCCCCTTTTTTATGTCACTTTTGGCGTATGCACACCACGTCGGTGCCATGCGTTCCACCATGCTACCCGGAAGAGCGGTGGCCATCTTACAGGGGAACACTGCACTTAGAAGCGCCCTTCTGTCCCTTCTAATACTCTTTTATGTATGCTCAGGCTCCTTTTGATCCTGTAAGTACATGTCTATTTTAATAAAGCAATATTTTAATAGTATAGTATTATTTTGGCTCCCTTGGTTCTCTTTTGAGGTAAATTTTTAAGCTGCTAGCGAGAGAACTTCGATCTACTTTTGATACCAGTGTCACAGAAACTGCAGCGTGTCCTGTGTTGGGATATACACACACAAGCGTATACTGATCTCTTTTATGTTGAGATCAGACAATCTGGTAAGAGGCTATGTATCTGTGGTAAAGGATTCACAATTGACACATTTGTATGTGGACTGATTTCCGTCACAGCACTTACTCTGATCCATTTATCAAGCACTTTACTTTATGGACTTTGTTTTCCAAACATGATGTTTTTTCACATAATGTAGATATTTTTGGTCCTGTTTTGAATATTTCTTGCACAGTTGCACTTTTTGGGATTTTCTTATTATTTTAGGAAACTATTGATAGTATTTTATATATGTCAATTTAAGTAAATTTTGGATATTATTTGAGTAGCGCACCATAATTTTAGATTACTATACAAGGTACAGTGTTCGGGCTATTGTGGTTGCTGCACTCCTTTTGCGACACATTTTTTATCATTTGCCCACTTTGCGCAGGGTACACCCAATTTTTAGAATCACCAGGTTAAAATAGAAGAAAAACCACTAAAAAAGAAAAATAATGCAACCACCACATCTAAGAAATAGTAATCTGCAGTATGATAAATGTTTGCTTTTGGGTTTAATACTGCTTTAAAAGATAAGTTCCCCTTTAAGAAAGAAATAATAAATGAATGTATTTTTGCAGGAAAAAAATGTGCATGATTATTTTTTCCACAAGCGCTTGCAAAGCATTTTACCCGCGATCAGTGGATTATGGGTGCAATGTTGGGCTCCTGCAGACACTTCTTCCAGCTCTCTGCCTGTACCTCTGTTCAGGCTTTCAGTTAGTAAGCTGGAGGAAATGTTAGTGGACTACGAGTGCGCTGATTATCACATTCATAGTCCATTGAGAACTACAAGTCCATCTGCTGCTGTGGAGAACAGGACTTGTAGTTTATTTACTCACAGATCACTGATTTGAAATGTATCAGCAGTTGCGAGGTGGTGGGAAGGAGCTCTCGTGCACAGCCAGCGGGGGGGTTAAATGATTAGGAACATGTTACACCCTGAATCACTTTACCCAGCAATTATTTTTGGCATCTAGTTAAGCAGCCCAGATCACTAGTAGTAAATTACACCTTGAATGTGTACCTATCTGGGTACCATCATTTGCTTTAATCCTTGCAAAATGGGTGACCAGTTCAACTCTTCAATTAGGGAAAACTATGATTCATATAGGGTTTGGCTCAGGCTAATCTCATCCTACCTTTTTCACAATCCGTTGCAATCCTCTAATTTTGAAATATTAACTGAAAAAAGATTAAGGTATGTCAGTCTTAAAGAAATCCATTCATCAGACCATTTATTTTTACAGAAGTCTTCCCATAGGATTATATGTGCATTTAGCGTATTGGATGTTATCTACCTTTAAAAGCCTCCCTTGTGTAGAAATCTAAAAGACCTGAGACACCACCACCATCAGCAGCCCTAGCAGACTCTGAGCTATCTTTCCAGTGACACCCTATAAATTTCCCTTTGCCCCCTCCCTCAGCAGCTAAATTGTATTTATTTATTTCAGGTACTTGTATAGCACCATCAATTTATGCAGCGCTTTACATATATATTGTACATTCACATCAGTCCCTGACCCTCGAGGGGTGTACAATCTAAGGTCCCTAACTTACATTTATATATACACATACTAGGGCCAATTTAGACAGGATCCAATTAACCTACCAGCATGTCTTTGGAGTGTGGGAGGAAACTGGCGTACCTGTAGGAAACCCATGCAGGCACAGGGAGAACATGCAAACTCCAGGCAGGTGTTGCCGTGGTTGGGATTTGAACCAATGACCCAAGTACTGCCAGGCGGAAGTGCTAACCATTTAGCCACTGTGCTGCCCTGAAATAAAAGTATATGCAGGGAGGTGAAGGAATGGCTGGAGGAGCTGGGCCAGCATTGACAGCAATTAGACACTCCCAGAAAAGGAGAAGGCCATTACACAGCAAAAAGGAGGGGGGGGGGGGGGGGGTGCAAAATCTTGAAGTCAGATTTGATAGCAAGTTCAAATGCACATTACAAATGTATAAAAACAAATCATTACTGCTAAGGAAAACCACTGCAAGTAAGCTTTTAAAATACTTTTTCTATTGTTTTATATGCAATGTTTTACCTTGGTGACATGGTAATGCTAGTAACATTATAGTTAATTACATAATTAGGACTAGTTCCTGTATAGAATAGGTAGATAAAGTCCAAAGGGGAAAATATTTGTCATACAGATGGCTTTTATAAAAGATGTTTTAGACTAAAGTTTACTTTTAATTTTCTTTTCAACTTTATGCTGCAAAGAGCACAAACATGATACAAGGGCTAGTGCTAGTGTGTTTATTTTGCATTCTTCACACACCCTTTTTCATACATGTTACTTAAACATATTTTAAGATAGTCAAAATTGGAAAAAAAATGTTTTTAACAATTAATCAAGGGTTGATTGGAACAGTGAAAAGTTTGCATAAGATTGCACAGCCTTTCAAATTCTCCTTTGTAAGTGAATGGGGCTGTGCTGTAACTGTTCTGGCAATGCCATTGGATAATAGCACATACAAAAAAAGAAAAAAAAACACCTAGGCATCAGAGGCAGCCTCCATATATCTCTCCTTACAGAATTCCTTCAACATCCCAATTGATGTCAATTGATCCTCATATTTACGGATATAAGAAGATGGCAGGAATCACAGCTAGCTAAACTTTCCCAAGAGAAATAACGTCATATGTCACCATATTTTTTTAAGACTTCTTACATTTTGCACAGAATCACCACAATATGTAGAAAAGGCTGTACATAAAACCTTTGATCTGGACCTTACTTGGTCTCCCATGAAGCATTTGATAAGAAGGGTTCATATTTGCTTTGTGCCTATGTTGTGTGGTTGGCCATTCCTTAGTTTGGTTAGTTACTCATAGATCTTTTGTGGTTATACTGAGATATAAAAAAGACCAGTAATTGACTTGAACAGGTGTCAACTGCACCTATTGTGTTTATAGGCAAGGCAGTATTTTCTTTTCTCTTGATTTGCTTTAAAGGAGCAGTTTTCAACCTAAATAATGTCACAGATCAGTGAAATGTTTCCTGAAGTTTTAAACGGTATGGCCACCAAAACGTTATATTTTGTATTTCATTGGAGCCTGGTCAGCTGGCTTATTCTAAGTCTTAGATACTCCCATTGCAAAATCTTAAAATGTTCAACCTATTACTCTTTAATAATAATTGCCAGCTTGGTTCTTGTCAAACTGGACGTTTTGGGTGTTCCAGCACACTCTGCTTCCTTCTCCATAATATAAAAAACGCTCCATTTGATCTAGATACAAATCTGTTGTTGGGTTTTGGGATTTTTTTTTTTGCCTTTTGACAGGATGTATTTAAAAGAGATGTATATTGGTTTGTATATAAATTGTATGTAAATTATTTTTCTTACAATTAGGATAAAATAAATGTCTGTCTGTTTTATTTATTTTGTTTTACTGCATAATTTAATGCATTTACTTAAATTTTTTGCAGCATTTTTCAAGCCAGCAAGTAGTGCTTTAGGCTCCTTTCACATTTTCCAAGCTCTCAGTTTTCCTTCTTTGATGAAAGAAGCCTAACTCTGGGAAGTTACAAAATTATTATGCCCCCCCTATTCATACAGAATCTAATGGTCATTTTTTCTTGGGGAGGAAATAAAACAGTCTTACTTGCCTAAAGCCAAGGTCCTGCGGTCTTTCTCTCTGCTGGTTCCGCATAGCCATTAATCTTGTTACTTCCCAGAGATCAGCTGTAAGTCAAGTTTGACAATTACAGCCTTTATAATAATAAAGCAGTAAATTTGACTTTCAGTAAACATTCACTGGTGGTAGATCAATCAATGTCGTTGAAAACATGCACATGTGTTGAATGTCAGATTCGCTGCTTAGTGCAACAGTGTGCCATAAGTACTTTGCAGAATGTGGCGTTAACTCCTTTCCAATTTTAGGACTTTCAGTGAGATCAACTCAGCAGAAGAACAGTATGAATTGTGTCGGGAACTGTGCAAGGACCTAGCAGAAGATCTCCATAAAGAAGGACTAAGGGTTTGTATGGTAGTCATTTACTTTCTCCTCTGCAAATTTATTTATTTCAGGTAGGATTTAAAAAGGAGCCAAACAATTATGTGTTAACATATGGCTTCATATGATTACTATCCTTAAATAAAAGACAGCTGTCAAGGATCCACGATCCAGCAGAGGAGTTCTTGGAATTTGGACGGCAACTGCCCTTTAGTGTCCATGTCCTGCAGGATCCAGGACAATGTAGCAGTTGGTGCAAAGTGCTTGAACGTACTTCAAAGTGTCCCTTTTAACTATTTTCAATCTATATATTATAGGTACTTATATAGCGCTGTCAATTTACGCAGCGCTTTGCACATATATATTGAACATTCACATCAGTCCCTAACCCTCAAGGGGTGTACAATCTAAGGTCCCTAACTTACATTCATATATACAGATATTAGGGCCAATTTAGACAGGATCCAATTAACCTACCAGCATGTCTTTGGAGTGTGTAAGGAAACCGGAGCACCCGGAGGAAACCCACGCAAGCACAGGGAGAACATGCAAACTCCATGCAGGAGGCGCCATGGTTGGGAATCAAACCCATGACCCATTTACTGCAAGGCAGACGTGCTAACCACTAAGCCACTGTGCTGCCCAAATCATGAATGATGTGTGCACTGTGAGTTGGGTTGCTCTTTTAAGGTCCCTCATGTGTACAAGCACTCATAGATACTTCGGTGTGTATCTAGATGACTTCATTAGTGTGAATGTCTGTTATAGAAAATGGTGCATTCCCTTAGTATGTGGGGTGCCAGTAAGTCAGGATGATGCCTCCTCTTGGGGAAAGCTTCGTTCACTGCCCCCCAGCTACAGAGTTTTCCTGAGTCACTGTACGCGTTCTAACATATACACTCACATTGACTGTTAGACAATGTTGGCCACATCTCAAACACCAGACACTTTGTACTTTGCATGCACTGCTTCTGTAGTGAACAGTATATTGCTGACAGATGTGGTCAGTATAGAAATCACTCATGTCGACATTAATTAAATTGCTCTCTGCTGGCTGGAGTATAGTAGGTTTGGTTGGTTGTTGGGTTTTCCACAGTGAGGATATGTTATTTGTAGTGCTGTACACACTGAACAAGTACTAGTACTGGGCAGAAGAAGTTTTATTTGTCCAAGACATGTTCCTAAGGCTGAACTGTAGTCATCTAGAAAACTCCATATACAGGTATGCTTTTTGAAAATTTCAGTCCTGTTATATTTCCTGTCAAGCTGTCTGGCTGCACAGTAGTAATAATTAAGAAAGTGTAAAAACATGAGCGCCATGGTCAGCCCACTCAGTACCACTCACTGCATGGTCAGTAAATGTAATGCAGATGGGAAATGGGGTTGTGCAATGTATTAACCTGTGGCTGCAATGTATTAACTTACAAGGATTTCTGACAAAGCAGAAATTCATAGTAGTCACCGCAGGTTTTGAAACTGTTGAAGTATGATGTCACTGTAGAAGTGTACGGCTAATTGGAATGCTCCTCCAACCTAAACCTCAGCACATACACTATATTGCAAAAGTATTGGGACACCACTCCAGACCATTTTGTTCAGGTGTTCCAGTCACCTCCATGGCCATAAGTGTATAAAATCAAGTACCTAGGCATGCAAACTGCTTCTAAAAACATTTGTGAAAAATGGGTCGCTCCCAGGAGCTCAGTGAATTGAAGCATGGTACCTTGATAGGTTGCTGCCTGTGCAATAAGTGCATCCGTGAAATTTCCTTGCTACTAAATATTCTATTGCCAGCTGTTAGTGGAGGTATCACAAAGTAGAAGCAACTGGGAACAACAGAAACTCAGCCACAAAGTGGTAGGCCACGGAAAATGACATAGCTGGGTCAAAGCTTGGTGCACAGAAGTTGCCAACTGTCTGCAGAGTCAATAGCTAAAGACCTCCAAACTTTGTGTGGCCTTCAGATTAGCACAACAGTGTGTAGAGAGCTTCATGGAATGGGGTTCCATGGCCGAGCAGCTGCATTCAAGCCTTACATCACCAAGTGCAATGCAAAGCATCGGATGCAGTGGTTTAAAGCACGCTGCCACTGGACTCTAGAGAAGTGGAGACGTGTTCCCTGGAGTGATGAATCACGCTTCTCTGTCTGGCAATCCGATGGACGTGTCTGGGTCTGGCGGTTGCCAGGAGAACGGTACTTGCCAGACTGCATTTTGCCAAGTGTAAAGTTTGGTGGAGGGGGGATTATGGTGTGGGGTTGTTTTTTAGGGGTTGGGCTTGGCCCCTTAGTTCCAGTGAAGGGAACTCTTTAGGCGTCAGGATACCAAGACATTTTGGACAATTTCATGCTCCCAACTTTGTGGGAACAGTTTGGGTGGCCCCTTCCTGTTCCAAAATGACTGCACACCAGTGCACAAAGCAAGGTCTATAAAGACATGGATGAGCGAGTTTGGGGTGGAGGAACTTGACTGGTGTGCACAGAGTCCTGACCTCAACCCAGTAGAACACCTTTGGGATGAATTAGAGCAGAGACTGTGAGCCAGGCCTTCTCGTCCGACATCAGTGCCTGACCTCACAAATGCGCTTCTTGAAGAATAGTCAAACATTTCCGTGGACAGCCTTCCCAGAAGAGTTGAAGCTGTTATAGCTGCAAAGGGTGGGCCAACTCAGTATTGAACCCTTCGGACTAAGACTGGAATGCTATTAAAGTTCATGTGTGTGTAAAGGCAGGCGTCCCAATACTTTTGACAATATAGTGTAAGTGCTTATGGTGTGGTTTCCTTATCTCTACTAATATTGTTGAAGGTTATTTTAAGTGGAGGGAGTTACTTTGACGTATGCATTAATTTTTTTACCATTTGATATATCCATGCTGCCAGCTGCTGAGCAAACAGCAAGCAATTTAAGAAGAAAATCTAAAAACTGAAAGCAACATTTTTATAGTTTGATAACGCTATATACACAGACCGCTCTGACTTATACGTAAAAATAAATCTTGATTTTTCAGGCTGTCTGGCTGTTCATTTTCTCTCTAGGTAGGTGGTAGCAGTGACTTTCCAAGGCTGAAGCTTCATTTTGATGAAAAAGGCAGAACGCTCCTGCAAACTACTAACTGCTTTCTGTGATGTAGAGGACAGCATATCAGTGGGGTGTACATGGAGGGGTTAAACTGAACCGTGGTAAATCCTTTAAAAACACGAAATGGAAAGCCATATAAATAATATACAAAGCATAGGGAAACATGGCTTTGCTGCTGAACCTTTCCCTGTCATTGATAATTGGCACAGAACAGTAGTCTTTACGTCATACTAAAATTACATTTTTTGCTCTTTTTTTTTTTTTTTGTAACCACAGCCCACAATATTTTCTAGTTTTGGATAGTGAGAAAAGGTTATAAGAGCCTTTTCCAACCAGGGTTCTTTGGAACCTTGGGTTCCTCCAGAGGTTACTAGGGCATTCTTGAGCAGTTAGCAATTTCTGCCTATCAGGTATGTAACCATAGGAACTTGTAAGTAGGCATGATTCTCTACTAAGCACCAATGTAAGGAGCGATCTTTCCCTTGTCCACCAATGTAATGCACATTACTCCACCAGTGCAAAGGGGTCCTTTTACCAATGACCACCAATGTAACAGGGCCCTTCTCCACTGATCTCTGATGTAAGGGGGCACTTCACTGACCAACAATTTAAATGCTCCAGGGCAGTGGAAACGCTGCTAATTTCCCTTTTTTTTTTTGCCCATTATTATTATTATCATTGTTTCATTATTATTATTATTATTATAGAAAATAATTTTGTTGTATTGAACAGCCCAGGGTGTCTGTTACACCAATTACATCACATTCCCTATTCTTATACTTAGTCTCTTATATCAACTTACTTTTCTAATGTACCATGAGCAGTAGATATAGTAATTAATAACATGGGTTGCCTGAAACCTGAAAGTTATTTCAAGGATTTTAAAAAGATGGAGAAGGACTGGGTTAGAAGCTTTGTCAGGTTTGTCTGCTGGCTTTGTCTCCTTTAGAGAAATGCATTCACATAAAGTTCACTATTGTCCTCAACACTGAAAGGAGGAAATCTAAAATGTTAGTTTTTAATAAAACTGGAAGTGAGGACAACTCTCCCAGTGAGATTACCTGTTTCAATGACAGCTTTCAAAGGCAGGAATCCTTTTCATGTTTAGATGTCCTTTCATTTCCTGTTGTGTTTCTGGGACATGGAGTGTGGGGAGATCTTGCCAATAGGCATGCAGACAGCAATTAAAGCCTAAGAGATGATCCAATCTCTGCAAGAAATGGCCACTTCTCTAGTCTATAACTGGTCTTCACAGCAAGGAGCATATGGAAGGGCGACGCATGTCAAACAACAAAAAAGAAAAAATTCCCAGTTCTAACTTGCAAGCCAGCCTGCAAACAAACTTAATTAATTCCCAGCTCAACTTGCTAGCCAGCAACAGGGTTTAGTTAGCACACATTTACTAATACATGCGTAAGCCATAGAGCCTTGTCACAGCACCCTACTATTCTGTAGTCCCTAACTCTACAATTTTAAGAGCACACCCATAGTAGAGGCACATGTATTTAATGGATAGACCAAGGGCAGGTGTTCCAATCTCTCCCTACTCCACTGTAACAAAATATTGTGGTTTAGAGAACTTGCCAATTCACATTTGCCGCATATATTCCCCATTCCCTTATCAAGGGCTTTTTTTTTTCTGGTTACTTAGACATTTGTCAAGGTAAAGTGGACTTTTCAGCATCAGAAAGTTAAATTTATCAGTGTTTATGGGTGCTCCACTGTACAAGTGCACAATAATTCCATGTCAGTCTGCAGCAACATTTCCATACCTATGCTGTTATAAAAGGAGTGTGGACCTAAATACACTGGCTTCTTGCTGGTGATCATGAATATATATAGTGAGAGAGCTGAAGACTGGTGTGCAAAGGCCTTTAGAATAAAATGACACTTGTGGCACGGTTTCAATTGCATGTCTAGCAAAAGCACCTAGATACCCATTTAAAGTGGGACTACACTGTATCTAAGCACGACAATCCAAAAACGCCATTTTATTAATTTTTAATGTTCAGAGCATGCTCACCCATCCATCCATCCTTGTCTCCATCCTTTATTTTGCTGAGGAGTCATTTACAAGACACCTTCTTAGCATTTCTGTCAGTGGCCATCTTGAGTAAGGACAAGATGATTCTTGTAGCATCTACTTCCTGGAAACCATCTGCCCTTAGCTCAGGCTCGCAGGCAGGAAGGTGTGTTTTTAGCTGCTCTCGTCCTGAAGGCTCCTGGAATGTATGGCATAATTTGCTTAGGCATGGTAACTAGGAAGTAACTAAAGAAATGTTAAAAACAGTTTAAAAAAAGTAAATATGATATACTTTCCTATCTACTTAATAATGCTAGCAGCATAAGGATTCAAAATAGTCCATGTTAATTGAAAGAATGAAGTTCCACTTTAGCCATATGAGGATGTAAGAACTAATTTACTAGTCAATGGTTTTGTACTGTATTATACAGAACGCTTGTTAACCGTTTCCTGTCCGCCCTATAGCAGAAGTACTTCTACAGTGCAGCACGGGTGCGCAAAATCACGCATATATACGTATATTTGCATTTCCGGGAAGGGGCGCACGTGCACTCTACCCGTGCTGCCATTTGTGGGCGCGGCTGTCAATCATCGGGTCCCGGACGATGATTAAATATTGTGACAGCTAGCGAGGAGGAGAAGATCCCTCGTTTGCTGTCACAACGGGAATCGGGGGCCAGTCCGTTTGCACCTTGTTCCACCCTGAATTTGGGTGCAACATGTTACAAAAGGTGAACTTATCCTTTAAAGCTGAATTCACTGACAATGGCGTAAATGCTGAATAAAAGTAATGCCAGGTAAACACTGGCTGAATTTTCACCAAAATCAGCCAGTACAGTAGAAACCGGCTGAATTTCAACCCATGTGTACAGGCTTCTGTGAATGGGCATGCTGAAAAAAAAAAGTATGCGATCGGCATTCGATCAGTGCTTTTGGCTAATGGCTGTGAATGCTGACCTGTGTGTTTTGGCAGAGGTGGCCCTCTGTCAGAACACAATAGCACAGGGTGGGATCGCTGTACTTACATTACTTGTGTTAGTACAGTGATCTTTTTTTTTTTCATTCAGCCTACTGGGTTGAACGAAGAAAAACTTACAGTATGTACTAGGCTTAAAACGAAGTTCCACCCATTTTTTAAAGTTCCTCTGATTACGTGGTTCGTGTGTTGTCCAGCACGATTTGGATAAAAAATATTTTTTTTTCTTAATGTAAATACCTTAAAATCATATTTTAGGACTGCACTTCCAGTTCCGGCCGCCTAGGCAATGACATGTTAAGGTGATTCACAACATCTCCTGGGATGTCTTTTCCTGTATCCCAGGAGTCCTTTGGGTTCCTAGTGAATGAATATCACATTACTTCAAAACCAGAAGTGATGTGAAGGGGTGGCATCTGGCGCCATTTTACCAGAGTCTAGTGTGGGAAGGAAGTATAAGATCAGTGCTGTTCTAATTATTGTTGCGGGGCTTGCTCTGTTTCCAGACCTCACTTGCCTTCCACCTGGTGTGATTTCATGGACAGGTTGCCATAAGGTGGCAGAAACTTCTGCCGTCCCTGCCATTGTTATGGCAACCTGTTCTATACAAGTAGCACCGAGCAGTGTTAGTACTGCGCAGGCGCAAGCTCGAGTGGTGCATGCTGGGATAACCAGCAGCACCAACTCCAGGAAAAAAGCCTTGCGGGCTTCAGATGCCCACAGCCATCATGGCGCCTGCCTGCTTCCGACATCAAGGTAAAGATTTACATATTTAAAACGAAGTAGAAGGCTATAACTTTATCCAATTGTTAATGTTCTCGAAAAGGCAATCATTTTTTTCAACTTTTAAAAAAAATTTCTTCTGGGGTCTGGAACTCCGCTTTAAGTTATAACAAACACTGCAACAGGTGGAACACACTTCATTGGAGGTAACTTTTGTTTACTTTGCAAATGGATAAAAAAATTGTTAATAAATACGTGTTTACTGTGTTAACCGCCAGACAATACAGCCAATTTTGTAATTTTTGTGGTATTTATTCAGTTTACAGTTGCAAGAAAAAGTATGTGAACCCCTTGGGATTACGTGGAATTTTGCATTAATTGGGCATAAAATGTGCTCTGAACGTCATCTAAATCACAACAATAGAAGAACACAGTCTGCTGAACATAATACTACACAAACATTAGATGTTGCCATGGTTTAATTGCACATAACATCTAAACATTCACAGTGCAGGGAGGAAAAAGTATGTGAACCTTTGGACTTAATAACAGGTTGACCCTCCTTTGGCAGCAATAACCTCAACCAAACGTTTCCTGTAGTTGCAGATCAGACCTGCACAATGATCTGGGGTAATTTTGGACAACTCCTCTTCGCAAAAACTGTTTCAGTGTAGCAATATTCTTTCTGGGATGTCTGGTGTGACTCGCTCTCTTAAGGTCATGCCACAGCATTTCAATCGGCTTGAAGTCAGGACTCTGACTGGGCCACTCCAGAAGGCGTAATCTGTGCTGTTGCAGCCATTGTTTTGTTGAATTACTTGTATGCTTTGGGTCATTGTCCTGTTGCATCACCCATCCTCTGCGGAGCTTCAGTTGGCGGACAGATGGTTGTACGTTTTCCTGCAAAATGTCTTGATAAACTCTCGAATTAATTTTCCCATCAATGACAACAATCCGTCCAGGCCCTGAGGCAGCAAAGCAGCCCCAAACCATGATGCTCCCTCCGACATGTTTTACAGTGGGGATGAGGTTTTGATGTTGGTGTGCTATGCCTTTTTTTCTCCACACATAGTGTTGTGTGTTCTTCCCAAACAACTCAATCTTGGTTTCATCTGTCCACAGTATATTTTGCCAGTAGTGCTGTGGAACATCCAGGTGCTCTTTTGCAAACTTCAAACGTGCTGCAATATTCTTTTTGGACAGCAATGGCTTCCTCCACGGTGTCCTCCCATGTACTCCATTCTTGTTTAATGTTTTCCTTATTGTAGATGTGTCAACAAAAATGTTAGCATGTGCCAGAGATTTCTGAAGGTCTTTAGCTGACACTCTGGGATTCTTCTTTACCTCATGCAGCATTCTGCGCTGTGCTCTTGCAGTCATTTTTACAGGATGACCACGCCTAGGGAGAGTAGCAACAGTGCTAAACTTTCTCCATTTGTAGACAGTCTGTCTTACCGTGGACACATGAACATCAAGGCTTTTGGAGATACTTTTGTAACCCTTTCCAGCTTCATGCAAGTCAACAATTCTTGATCGTAGGTCTTCTGAGAGCTCTTTTCTGCGAGGCATGGTTCACATCAGACAGTGCTTCTTGAAACCAGTAAACCCAAAACAGGTGTGTGTTTTTTAAGGGCAGGACAGCTGTCAGCAACACATCCAATATCATCACACTGATTGGAGTCAAGGTTGGCTCACTCTTGGCTCCAAATAGTTCTGGGAGAAGTCATTAAGCTAGGGCCTCACATACTTTTTCCTCCCTGCACTGTGAATGTTTACATGTTATGTGCAATTAAACCATGGCAACATCTAATGTTTGTGTAGTATTATGTTCAGCAGACTGTGTTCTTCTATTGTTGTGACTTAGATAACGTTCAGAGCACATTTTATGCCCAATTCATGCAAAACTCCACGTAATCCCAAGGGGTTCACATACTTTTTCTTGCAACTGTATATGCATGTTAAGGCTGATAGGTGAAGAAATTGCAACGTACAATAACATTTTTATGCTAAATGGGAGTAAACTATATAACATGCATTTGTACAATTCACACTTTTTTATTTTAAAAAAATGCAAATGAAAAGCAGGTTTTGTACGTTTTTCAGTACTGATTATTTTCCAGCTTCACAACCAGAAATCACAACCAGAAATCAAATATATTTATGTTATCTATGAATTTCCTGCTGTGGCTATATTTGTTTAAAGTTATTTCCTGCTCTGAGTCTTGGGGATCAGCCACTGATGTTTTCTAACCATTTATTAAACATTAGGCGGTGTAGTGTGGCAGGCCCTCAGAGCAGCATGAGTTCAGGCAATGGGTGCGTCTAGCAGTTCCCGTTACGAGCGTAGCTTCTAACCTGTATGTGAACCTGGCTCAGTCTGCCAAAATCAACACACCGGAGACTTTATAGCATTCTGTTCTGACTGCTGCTTCCTTTGTTATAGGGCAGAACTGTTACTCTGAAACTGAAAAATGTCAAATTTGAGGTAAAGACAAGAGCTTCCACCGTATCCCACACAGTCTCTACCGAAGGAGAAATCTTCTGCCTTGCCAAGGACATTCTTAAAGCTGAGATTGAGGCAGCTGCACCGGAACCTCTCCGTCTTAGACTGATGGGTAAAGTTTAATCGTCTGGTTCTGTTGTTGGAAATTTCAGATGCTACATACTAGCTCTTAAAAAAAAAAATAGTTCAAACATGAGAATTGTAATGTTTTTATGTAATTTTAGTCTCCTGAAAGCAAGAAATTAAAAAAAAAAAAAATGAATTACACTGTTGCTGAAATTGCAGACCTAATTGGTGTAGAATCAACCTAAAAAAAAAAAAAAAAACATACATCAGTTTTAAGATGCATTATTTAACCCCTTGACGCCGAGCGCACACAAATATTCGGCCTTCCGGCGTCTGGGCCTTGGCGCCGAGCGGCCGCATATTTGCATGCCATTAGAAAATACATATGTGCTGAGAGCGTGCTCCCAGCACATATGTCCGTGACTTACAGAAAGGTCCCAATCTCCCCTTGCGATCGGGACGTTTTCCGATCATGTGACCACCGTGATGGTGAATCACAGCGGTCACATGACCCTAAAACCCCTCCCGGCTTCTGAAACTCTTAAAGGGCCGGCAGGGGTTAATTTAACATGTACGTTGACTATATATGTTCATGGTTATGATTATTTACTGCCCCTATTCAAAAAACGAAGCTAGCCATACTCACCTTGAATTTCATCCAGTTCTTGCTGAATCGAGTGACATTCGAGTAATGGTGGTCCTCTCAGGCTTAGTCGAATTTTGAATCGACTTGTGTCAAGCCAGATGGAAAACTGTTTGCTGAATAGTGACTGCATCTGATAAGATATTCAGGCAACCGCGAGTGTCCTGGCAGTTTGATTACAATAGCCAGCAGTGCAAATTCCTCCATTCAAGTTGTTTAGCATGGATGGGAAAATCGATGTATGGCTAAGCATAAATCCGTAATTCCACTGAATAAAGCTGGCCATAGATAGATTGATATTTGGCGGGTTCAGCGGGGACCTGCCCAATTTTGATCCATCTATGGCTGGTCCTGTTTGAGAAAAGTCAATCTACTTATCGACTGCTTCGAAACAGGATTGCTGGAAAATCTTAGTGCTGCAGTCTGATCAGTGTATTCTGACAGTGGAGGAGTCCAGCTGACTCCTCTACTCTCGGAATACAATAGCACAGCGGGGAGGATTCCCACATCCACCTCAGATGTGTAGATGGGGGAATCATTTCAGTTTTTTTTGTTCAGCCCTCTGGCTGCTTGAAGAAAACTGAACCATATGTGGCCAGCTTGACTGAAGACAATGCATTTCCCTATGTGGCTCTTATCTAATCCTGCCTCAACAGCTGTTTAGCAGTTAGTCATTATAATAGGTAATCTTCCCTGTCTCTAGAGGTAATCCGCAAATGTCCATTGGAGATTAGCTATTACAGTGACTCTGCCAAACTGCTTAACAACAGTTAATCCGGCTATGAACAGATTGAAATTTGGCCGGTTCAGCAGGAACCAGACACATCTCGATCCATACATGGGCAGGCTGGTTGTACTGCGGTTGATCAAGAAAATTGGTTTATGTATGATCTGCCTTAACTACTTCCCACCCGGCCTGTAGTAAAATGACAGCTGGGTGAACCTCTTGCCCCTCTGGTAGGGCGTCATATGACGTCCTTCCCGGATTGTGCATTGCACGTACCCGCAGGGCCGCAATGTGGCGAGATCTGTCACCAGTTGTGTACCTCGGACACGGCCAATGACAGATTTGTGTACGGGTCCCTTTCCCAGTACCATGTGACCTGCTGTGACCAATCAGTTGTATACAATGGATGGCTTCCTTTCATGCCATCCATTGTATACAAGTGTGTCTAGCTTTGAATGGTCACAGTGATCACATGCACAGGCTGGGCCAGTCATAGCCCATCTGTGTCATGTGATTAGCCATGGCCAATCACAGCTAATCACAACAAAAAAAGCTGAATGAATCAATTTCATTCAGTTAAATGCCTGCTTATAGCAAAGAAATTATTTTCTATAAGCAATCAAATTGTGTAAAAAAAAAGAAAATATATATATATAGATCACTTCCCCAAGGTTGTACAATGTTACTATGGTAATACTACTTTGGTCATAGTGTAATATGAAAAGAAATCTTAAAAAAAGAGAAAGAAATATAATAAAAAATTGAAACAAATTATCAATTATTTTTTTTCGTACTGTCACCAGTCACTGTCCCTGATCACTGCCACACCAGTTATATGATGACGCTGTACTGCACTGGTGACAGTATGTAAAAAAAAATTGTGAAAATAATTTTTTTAATTTCTTCATTTTCTGAAAAATTATGACAAAAAAATTACAACTTCAAAAAAAACTTGCCATGCCTCTTACGAAATACATCGGACTGTCTACTTTGCAAAAAGGGGACATTTTTGGACCTCAAGAAATTAGATTGGCCATCAGTACTTCAGGATTGATCAATTTTCAGATATATCCCATAGTTTGTGAATTCTATGACTTTCCTACAAACTAAATAATAAACATTGATTTGGGTTATTTTCACCAAAGACATGTAGCAGAATAAATTTTGGCCTAAATTTATGAAGAACAATTATTTATTTGCAAACTTGTTTTTTTTTCCAACATTTTCTGTCTTTTTTGTTAATTTAGCAAAAAATAAAAACCCCAGTGGTGATTAAATACCACCAAAAGAAAGCTCTAGTTGTGTGAACAAAATGATAAAATTGTAGTTTGGGTACAGTGTTACATGACTGCGCAATTGTTATTCAAAGTGTGAGAGTGCTGAAACATGAAAATTGGCCTGGGCAGAAAGGGGGTAAAAGTGCCCGGTATTGAAGGGGTTAAAGATAGCCACAAGAGCCGTTCAGAATTCTTCACTGGAGAGGATCATACAATCATCACTGCTTACGTCTATAGCCTTCGGCAGAGATCAAATGAAAAAACCCGACAAGCTGGTTCTACTGAAGACGATCTATGGATCAACGTCAGTACAACCAGCCTGTTTTTTCAATCTCTGCCAGTGGCCATAGCCGGAAGCAGTGATCATTGTATTCTGACGGCCAGGACACTTTCTGCTATCAGATTTAATTTGCCCTGCAGGAGGGATTCACCCATCAACACTGAATGTGTTGATGGAAAATTGAGCAATTTTCTCTCATTCAACCAAAATTGCCTTAAAGATAGCCACACAAGGAGAGCATTATTTTCATTTAGTCAAATGATTGATTGTGAGAAGATGCAATAAACACAACCATTGTGTAGTGCTAAAATTCAGAAGCAGAGTTTGCCTATGTAACAAGAAGATATGGCTGCCTCATCCACTTATATAATTACATAGCAAATTATTTCTAAAACCTGGATATTTTAATAACTGTTTTCATCTTTGAAGGTGTAAGGGTGTCGGGATTCACATCAGAAGAAGACAAAAAACACCAGAAGAGCATTACCAGTTTTTTGTGCACTAATAGGCCAGCAAGCAAAATTTGTTCAGATGCCATGGAAAAAGCAGTCCAAGAAAGGCAAGCCCCGTGTCCTCAGAGGGAGAGCTTCTTCAATCAGAAGAGAGCAGCCAGACAGCAGGAATTGCTGCAGAATTCAGAGGGAACCGCTGATACTAGTAAAGACCAAAATGTGACTTTTGCTGTATGCACAGAACCCAAGGCTGATGTGGATGATGCCAAAGAAAAGCCAGATTTCACATGTCCGATCTGCCTCATGAAGCAAGGAGTTTGGGACCTAGAGGCATTTAATAGGCATATTGATGAATGTTTAAGCAAATCACCATCCGCTGGCTTCTCTGAAATGCTAAAGAAAGAAAAACATTTTCAAAGAAATGTGACTGCAAATAATGGAGACAATGAAAACGATATTCATGCAAACAATCTTAAGAACAAAATGGTGACTGTAACATCATGTGATGATTTGTATGACTTTGTTATTGATAAGCATACATTGTGTACAATACAGGGTAATAAAACCTTACGAAGGAATCTAAAAGAGAACACGTGTGAGGGCACCTCAAATAGTATGGTGTTAGAAAAGCAAGCAGTTCCTAAAGGCACTGACAAGCCTATACTGTCAACACCACCCAGCTCATCATTGTGTGTTGGAGAGTCCACACTCATCTGTCCAGTGTGCAATACACAACAAGATACCACAGACCTCACAGCTTTTAACAGACATGTGGACATATGCCTGAACAAGGGGATTCTAGAAGAGTTGAAGGATGATGAAGTGAGCACAGACAGAAGCCTTGCACTTGGCCATCACATTGGTAAGTGTATTTCACGGCAAAAAAAAAAATGCAGTATCCAATACATGTACGTTTCCATGTGTTTTATTGTTAAAGCGGAGTTCCACTTAAAAGCGGAAGCTCCACTAATTTGCCTCCTCCCCCCCTCCACTGACATATTTGGCACCTTTTTGGGGGGGAGCGGATATCTGTTTTTGACAAGTACCCGCTCCCACTTCCAGCTCAGTTTGCTGCGGCGAAGTGAGCTGGAAGTTTGGCCCCCTCCTCCATCCCGCAGTCTCCTGGGAACTTTCACAGGTCCCAGAAGACTGCTGGACCAATCAGGAGGCGCAGCGCAATGGGCACCAGGCTGTGAAGCCGCAAGCTGTCACAGCCTGGTGCCCACAGTTAAGGTGGAGGAGAGAAGGGGAGAAGGCGCGGGTGAGAACATTGCTGGACTCTGGGAACGGTAAGTGTGTGTTTATTAAAAGTCAGCAGCTACAGTTTTTGTAGCTGCTGATTTTTAATAAACACAAAAACGGCTGGAGCTCCGCTTTAAATAATCTGCATATTATTCCTTATTGTTAGGGTTTTACATACAATTTAATTAAACCCACTAGGTTAAAGTAATAGACACACTGGGGTTGATTTACTAAAGACAAATAGACTGTTCACTTTGCAATTGCAGTTGCACCTTATAAGGAAATTATCACCAGAGCTTAGTGAGCAAGGTGGTAAAGCTTTGTTGATTTCAGCATCCAATCTTATGCGAGTAAAAGCGTTTTTGTTTTTTTTTCATGGATGTGATTAGGTACTCTTTGCCAAGTAAAACTTCACCACACTCCCTAAGCTCTGAGGAAAAATCCTTTGCTGAGTGCAACTTCACTTGGAAAGGACACAGTATTTCACTTTGGTAAATCAACCCCACAGTGTGTATGAGAAGGGAAGGGGAAGTGATGTGCAGGAAATGGGAGCATCTTCATATCATGGGGAAAATGAAACCCGATGGCCAGCATGTGCAAATCTGCTGGCAGCCTGATGCATATCAAACTCCTGATTCACTGAGCTCTATGGCAGGCTTGAAGGTATAATAGTTGAGTGTTCTGAGTGCATGGGTACATGGAGACTAAGGCCGGCCATACATGGGTTGAAATTCGACCGATTTACACCCGAAAATCGGACCTAAGAATAATTGGCCGATTTTTGCTCTGTTAGTGGGTCAATGGCACTGGCCGATTTTTGTGGTTCCTCCCCTTTTTGGTGATCGGGCATGTTGGAAAATTCGTGAAAAACCACAGATTTTCGACTCAATGATGGTCAAATCGTACGATCGTTTTTCCAAAAAAGCATATGCACATGAGCCGTGACCTGGAAGGAACAGAAGTTTTGCCTGTTATATGGGGTGAACTTTATGACTTGGACGGCCATTTTCGAAATCATTGATGGCACCATCGGATTACCAAGCGAATTACTTTTTCGATTTTCAGACGAAAAATCATTCAGAATTCGAACCATGTATGGCCTGCATAAGTGTATTGGGGTAAATAGCAAGGTGTCATTAGTATACACATGGGGTGAGCAAAACCTTGGACAGAGGGGTGGCAGTGGACGTGGTATACTTGGATTTTGCAAAAGCATTTGACACAGTTCCCCACACACGGCTAATGTGTAAGGTAAAGTCTACGGGCTTGGAAAAATCCGTATGTAAATGGATAGAAAACTGGCTAAAGGATGGTATTCAGAGAGTAGTGGTTAATGATTCATACTCTGAATGGTCTGGGGTCATTAGTGGTGTACCCCAAGGTTCAGTGTTGGGACCCTTACTTTTTAATATATTTATAAACGATATAGGGTCTGGGATTATAAATCCCATTTCAGTCTTTGCAGAAGACACCAAGCTGCGCAGTGGAATAACGTTCTAACAGGATGTCTCCAACTTACAAGCCGACCTCAATGCACTGTTTAATTGGGCAGCTAAGTGGCAAATGAGGTTTAATGTTGATAAATGTAAGGTTAAGCACTTGGGGGCTAAGAATATGCATGCATCATACATAGTAGGGGGAGTACAACTGGGGGAATCAATGGTGGATCTGGGGGTTCTGGTAGATCACAAGCTTAATAATGGCATGCAATGCTAAGCTGCAGTTTGTAAAGCAAGCAAAATCCTTTCTTGTATTAAAAGAGGTATGGACTCAAGAGAGAGAGATATCATATTACCTCGGTACAAATCATTAGTAACACCTCATCTGGAATATGCAGTTCAATTTTGGGCACCAATTCACAAAAAGAACATTGGGGAACTGGAGAAAGTACAGAGAAGGGTAACTAAACTGATAAGAGACATGGAGGAGCTCAGCTATGAGGAAACATTAGAGGAACTGAATTTATTCTCTCTTGAGAAGAGGAGATTAAAGGGGGATATGATCAACATGTATAAATACATCAGTGGTTCATATAGTAAACTCAGTTTAGAGTTATTCACCCTGAGGTCATCACAGAGGACAAGGGGGCACTCTTTATGTCTGGAGGAAAAGAAATTTAATCTCCAAACACGGAAAGGTTTCTTTACAGTGAGAGCTGTGAGAATGTGGAATAGACTCCCTCAAGAGTTGGTTCTGGCCAGCTCAGTGGATTGCTTCAAAAAAGGCCTGGATTCTTTCTTAGATGCACAGAATATAACTGGATACTAACATTTATAGGTAAACTTGATCCAGGGAATATCCGATTGCCTCTCGGGGAATCAGGAAGGACTTTTTTTCCCAGCAGGAGCAAATTGGATCATGCTTTGCTGGGTTTTTTTTTGCCTTCCTCTGGATCAACTGTGGGTATAGGATTATAACTTTTTTTTTTTTTTTTACTATGGTTGAACTGGATGGACTTTTGTCTTTTTTCAGCCAGACTAACTATGTGACTATGTATATGGGATGCCGTTAAATATTTTTTGTCAAGTCACATGAAGGTGGCAGCATATAACCCAGGGGTATTGGACTCTGTGTTCTGTACTGCACTCTGGAAATGAGTTTTACTGCTAAGACAAAAGTCCTATTTTTCTGTATTTTGTTCTTAGCCATTAAAAAGAAAATTAATTCGGCCACCATATCTAGGGACTGGTAAGTTTCAATATAATACATTTTAGTTTTGAGGTTTAGTTATCCTTAAATACAACTAAAAAATGCTTGTGATTTGTTCCAGCTAGCACAGACACACCTGACCAGTTTCCTCATAGACTACAGTTGAGGTCAGAAGAAGTCTGTAACAAATCTCCAGGCGTGTTCTTGCTATTTTAGGCATTTTAAATTGCTCAGTAAATGAAACATATTTTTGACTTATTGATGTCATCACTAGATCTCTTCAATTATGGAACTAACTGCCGTCGATGGTAGCTTGTGGGAGGGGCCGGCAGAATGCTGTACATATCTTTCTACATACATCATTGTGCTCTACTTTATTGCCCCACTCAAGGGCCCTCTGGGCACCCTGTGGGAAGCTCACAGCATGCAATGACATTAGAATAGGCAGTTTCTGAACCTGAGATGAGCCTGTACAAGTGGGAAATAAGTAAAGTGCTACTAAACCCAGGACCCTGAATTCACTATATGTGGTCTCCCATACACAGAACATGCAAACATTTTAGTAAATATAAACTGCTAAATACCTTTTCTCACCAGCAGTTAGAGCAGTCTTGTGACTTCTATCAGTGTCCAGCCGAGCACTGGGTAAAGCTTGTAGAAGAGTTTCCATTTTGCTCTAGGGGGATGCAGAACCCCTGTCCTTTGTCCGGACCGTGCTGATTGGCCCTGTGCTGATCACACGCACTCTCCCAAGAGAATAAAATAAACGTCTCTAGCAATACACACCAAACTGAGCATGAGCAGAGTGACTCCACATGTTATGCATTATCAGGAGATAAGAGGGGGACACTGGAAGAAGGGGAGAATCAGAGAACACAATGCAGAGGATTAACCCCTTAGATTCCACAGTGAAGATAACAAGCATGCTTTACTGCATATACAGACTGATTTTTCTGTTGTTGGTTTAGTAACACTTTAATATAAGGCTGAAGTGTGTATGTCTATGTTTTCCACACATCATCCACTTTCAGGCTCCATACACTGTGTGTTTAGCTATGGTGCATGGGTTTCTGAGGTTTAAGGGCTCATGTACACTGCAGCTGCTAAACTAATGTTCAAGAGCTGCTCAGCGTTTTTTTACCAGCGTTTCAAACCCCAAACGCTTATAAACGCGGTTTATAAGCGTTTTTTAACTGTTCCAGAGCCTTTTTTCATCATCAGAAATGCATGCAAAGCGTTTTCCATGTATTCAAATGGACGTAGTACACCAGCGCAGTCAGTTCCAGGTTTCGCGTGAAGGAAAAAATGGTAGAATGTGCTGCATTATGCTCATGATGGGATCCATAGTGCATACAACCAGAAAAGACAGGTCATCTCAACACATACTGCTCTCTCTGCTTCTGCTCTCTCTATTCCTCTCAAAATGTCTGAAATTCTCTCTCTATTCCTCTCAAAATGTCTGAAATGCAAACGCGGTTAAACTGACGTTTTTTTTAACCTACGTTTTCCAGCAGTCAGTTTTCATTGTTCAGAAGAGTTTTCCAAATGCCCCGTGTACATGAGCCCTAACTGTGGCTGGAGGGTCCATCCCAGCTGTCAGCAACCAGTCAAATTTTATGACAGCTGCTGCAGCTGGACAGGGCTGGATGGTAACAAAAAATCTGCATTCCGTGCGTTTGTCCCTGAGCACATACTGACGTTACCATTCCTACCGCTAGGTGCGTTCTCTGCAGAAGCTGTCAGCCTCTCATTTAGTTTGACCATCCATCGGCAGAAGGGCTGGATGAGGCATCTGTGCAGTATCTCACAGAAGTGAAATCACCCCTCCATATTTTTGTAAATATTTTATTATATCTTTTAGGTAGTGGTAGGACAGCTTTCCTGCTTCTAACTGGAGTCTGAGTTTATCTAGAGAGGATAAAACTGGGGGTGTGGAACTGCTGGTCTGCCACTACCAAGCTTATAGAAACT